ATGCCGATTTTTATCTTAATAATAACTGTAAAATTAACGAAATTAAAAATCGAAGGTGTGCCATTTTTTTAATTTTTATATAATTTAATTTAAAGTATAAGTCAAAGTATATTATTCAATGAAATTAACTAAATTATATTACTAGGATTTTGTTACAGAAACGCATGGGATACGCGTAGTTTCGAAGTATAGTCGAAGTAAAACCTTCCATAATAACTCTTCACCTCTGAATCTAATTAACAACATATCTGAAGGCAATGAAAATAGAAATTCATGCATTCAGGTAACTTTTTCTCTGGATACATTTTTCAAAATTTATTAATTTAGAAAGCTTATTTCCTTAGAAAGCTTATTTCCTTAGAAAGCTTATTTCTTTAGAAAGCTTATTTCCATATAATTCTGGAACGATTCATTTGGCTTTAATTTTTGAAGTAATCATTTCAGATCTCCACATATCAAAAAATTAACGAAGGAACGTTGCTAGAATCAAAAAAATTTAGATCACTTCGATCACCAATTATGTATCGATGTACTGTTTGCATGTTTCAACAGGTTTGTTTTTCAAATATTAGCAACAAAAAGAAAAAAAAATTCATAAAAAGCTAAATACTTTAAGAAAATTTTGGTAGCATGTTAAATTAAATAATTTTATTTTTGATAATTTCAGGATTCAGTGCTTTTGTTAATAAGTCATCTAAAAAACGTACATAATGTATTGCCATATGAATGTCATTCATGTGGGATATCATTTCTGGATGTTCACACAACTACAAAACATTTTAGTGAAGCATCAACTTGCACTAGAAATGATCTCAAAATTAACATTGCACCACTTTATGCTACAAAAACTAATTCCAGTATGCTTAGTATTCATTTTTTTTCTTGAATAAACTATTTAAAAACAGTTTTTGTTAAAACAAATGGACTGATCTAATTCAGAATTTATTCATGTGTTCATTTAGTCTGAGTTTATATGTAATTTTTCATGCTTTCAAGTACTGAATCAATTTTATCATAATTTATGCTTTATTAATAAAGTATTAATTAGCATATTTTTAGATTGTAAATCATCGTTCACTTTACTTGACGAAGCTGCAAAACGAACTGCTCAAGAATTGTTCTATAAATCGCATCTAAACACAAATATCACTTCTAGCAGTACAAGTAATTCTGTGCCAACAATAATGCCAAACGAAAAATGTGATATTGAACAAATGAGTAATGCGCATATTAGTAAACGATATTGTGAAGAAAATCAAAAAATATTAGACCATACATTACAAGGTAGGGTAAATTTATAAATATATCAATTTATTATTAAATAGTTTGTTTAATAAAGTAATATATTTGTAATATAAATAATATTTTCACTTCTAATAATATATTTTGTATTTTTCCATACAATGTGAAGAACATACATACATTGGGATGACAATTTTCGAGTTATTTTTCACTGTAAAAGTATAAAAATGACTCTTTTCAGTATATCAAAAAATAATTAGACCCGTTCAAGTGATGTAATTAAAATAATTAAATTACTTGCAATGATAAAATTATTATCAGTAATTTGCTGCACTGATAAATATTTGCGATTAATATTTTTCAGAAATGAATTACAAATGTACGATATGTAATTGGAGTGCGAAAAAAATATGTGCGATGGGAGAACACTTGCGTCTTCATGCAGTTAATCCATCGCAATCTCTTGATGATAGCCTTTCAAAATTTTTTGAGACTAAAATAAAAACTCAACCAGATGGTTCTACCACAGAATCAGAGGTACTTCATTCATTAATTACATATACTTTTTATAAATATGAAATTAAATCAATTAGCATTAGTATCTCATAATTTTGTACTCGAATACTTACTTCCACAATTTAAAAATTCTACTTCAAATAAATGTCAAAGGTTAATTAGTGGCTAAAGTAACTGAAAGCACTTCATTCATTAGAAATACTTTAGTCATTTAAAAATTTGAATTTTTACAAATATTGTCACTATTAACATGATTAAATTTTAGCTGGATCTGCCATTCCATATTTTAGAGAAAAAAATTGTCTAATATCCTTCAGTACTACTCAAATTTGCTTGCCTCACCTTTCCAAGTTTAAAAATTATTAAACTTTTAAATCTCTTAAGAGTCTTAAAATATTATTCCAAACATGCATCTCAAGAAAGCGAAATATCTACTTAATAATGCCTCCAAAAAACAAACTCTACTAATTATTTGCCTTAATCTTTCTGATGTTATGCATATCGAAACTATAAAAATTTAAGCTAATATCAATTAGTTTTCCAAAAATATTTATTTGCTCAAATTACTACCTCATAAAGACATTTATTAATTCTTATTTCAGAAGGCATTTTAAAGTATTAGATTTATCTATAGCAAAAGTTAAAGATCTATACACACTGAAGGATTGCAGTTTAACTAAGTAAAAACTTTCAAACACTAATTCAACTTTTACTTTCTTCAGAAACATATACTTAAAATGTACTAAAAACATTTATCTGATTTTTTGAATTAAATTTAACAACTGTAATATGCATATTAGAAACAACTTTTTTGGTACCTTTCTGAAGCAAAATAGATTTTTGCTAAATATACATTTTGCATTACATTACAACCTTATACAACTGAAATCATTTAAACTTTGCAAGCGATAATAGTTGTGCGACTAAAATCAAAAATGAGCTAAATTATGGAAAATATGATAAAAAATTTATATTATGCAAAGCAAGAAATTTAATACTTTGAGGGAAAGTAAATTATTAATTTTGTTCAATTACCATGATGAGTAATAATTGATTTTGATATTTCTATGCAAAAGAAAAACAGTCAAATTTTTAATTTCAGCTTTCATTACAAACTTTGGCATCGATGTCAATTCCGTTACCTATCTGGATAACACCAAATCAATCAGCTTTTAAGCAGATACATCCAATTCCTGGAAAAATTCAACCTAACATCAGTTATACACCTATTCCAGCATTTCGTGAAATTCAACAAGAAGCTATTCAAAAACTCTGTTCTTTATTTATTGATACAAGTATCAAGAATTCTCAAAATGCAATCAATACAATTCCGAATTTTAGTCCTAGCTTAAATTCGGAAAGTTTATGTTCTATAAATTCTCCTTCCTCACATGAATCAGTCAATTCAAGTTCTAAGTCCACGATATCAGATGTGAGTACATCATCTTCAAATTCATTGATTTCTGACGTTATAATTAAACCAAGCGAACATCAATACGAACAACGTAGCACATTATGCCCAGCAATTATCGTAACGAAAAGCAAGATTCAACAACCAAACAACGATGATGAGGAGCCTGAAAAGAAGAATTCTCTTACTATCATTCATAATCAAATGGAGGAAGATGATTTTGTTGATGTCGTACAAATCGATGACTAATAATTTAATTTGTTATCAATAATAAACAATCATTCGATAAGCGACAAGTCTACTCATATGCAAATTATGGGCATAAAAAGTGAATAAATTTGAGAAGCAATCAGTCTTTCGACGTAATACAAGTTACTTTAATGTGATGCAATTTCTTCATGAAAAGTAACTATAAGACTTGAATTTCATTATGCAATATACACTTTAATTGATTAACTTAAGTTAATATTGATTGCTAATTTTATTATTTTTGTTCATCCAAAAATTTCAAACCATTACCAGTTTGTGTCATGTTTGATCATTTCTTAAGAATATATCTTTTGAAATGTCTTCGATAGAGTAACTTACTAGGTAGATGTATATCTAAATTCTTATAAAAAACACAGAGTGCGTCAAATATTCTCAAAATTATAACAGAAATAAACTCTGACTAGTTTTGAGATATGTCAAAGAAGAAAAAACATTACCAATTTTTTGTCAACGAATTTTCACTTCCAATTCACTTCGTTTTGTTTTTTCAATCTGTAAAACATACATTACTTTTCAATCAGTCATTTTCACTTTACATCTTTAAAACATAAATATGTGCAATAATATTTGTTAATAAGTGTACTTATTATTATGTGTTTTATGATTTTGTTCACGTAATATTGAATATTTATTTCGATAAGTGATAATTGCTAAAGCTTAAAGCTTTGAAACACCAGGCAACGTAATCCTTATCAGAGCTTCTAACTCTTGAATATAATTGTTTGGTAATTTTATACAGAAATGTATTTGAATTAAAAATGTGGTCATATTTTAGATTAAAAAAATTCGATGTGAACGGTTACTGTTTTGCTGTAACAAAACGTGAACTGTTACTTTTCAACTGTAAGAAATCAGTGTTTAATAGAATGCATAGTAAATTAATCGTTAAAGTTTTCGAGAATTTCAAATCTAATAACTGATTGTCCAATAGTTTTAATGGGATCAAATTATGAAAAGTACTAAATTATATCATTTAAATACAGATCAAATTCAAGTTTTATATTTGCAATCGAACTATGCTTTTGATTTATTCTATAAATCCATAATTATTGTTTGCTTCTGTACATTTAATTTCATTTTAAAAAACATTAATGCTTACTTCTTTGTTTTGTAGTTAAGTTTGTTTCTTTTGACCAATTTTTTGAAATTCAAACTTTTTCAAATAATTACAAACAAAGACTTTTCAAATTGGTTAAGCGTGAGCTTCAATTTCAACGTTCAAATAAATGAGAAAAGGATTAAAAATACAAATATTATGTTTTACTTAATAAAATTATTTGCAAAAATTCGACTCTATTATAATGTAAAGGAATAATATGATTGAATGATAAGCAAAATTGTGACATTTATGATTAGAAAGCAGTGCATTACACGTAAACTGGAAGTGACAACAAATAACAGAAGAGCCTTGACGACATTTAAAAGAGCAGACAGTTTGTATTGAGTTTGTTGAAAGCGAAAAAACCTGTTATATGTTGTTCAGCCTGTTTTAGTATGTGGAATTGCTCCAAATTGTAATCAAGTTTATCGATTAATATCAAAGTTATTATTGCATTCATACTTTCTGAAGTTTACGTCAGTGAAGAGTAGAAGGACTGATTTCTGAAGTGAATAGTAGAAGGACTGATTTTTAGAATTGTTAAATGTTATTAGCAAATGCAAAGAATTGCTTGCTATCTTTGTTAATTTATTTAATTGCAAAGAAAAAAAATTGTCTTGAACTCTTATTTTTGCATAATTTAAATTATTACTTTCAGTATAGATTTTGTTTTCATTTATTATTTCAAAAAATTAAATGTATACAAAAATAGAATAATAAATTTAAGTATAAAAGTGATCAGTCGAAAACAAAGTTGTCATCACTTTTGATTAAAATTTTGTTAATAAAAGTGCTAAAATATGCACTGTATCTGAAGTAATTGCAAGCGAATTTTAATGCCATTGGGATTAATCGCAAAAGTTACTGCTGTTAGTATTATGTTCAACCTTGTCTTTTAGATGAATCATTTTTTGAAATTATTAGTTATAAGCGTTTTTCACTCTTACATTTGTTAATGTAAGATTACTCTCAATGTATTATATTAGTTATACAACTGCAAAATTTAAAAAAATATATTTTAAGAAGTTCAAATTTGAATCTATATTAAGTACCTAAATTCATCAGTTTCTGTCTTCCTGCTTTTAGACCTACGTCATATTCGTAGATTTGCTGATTTCGTTTTATTTTATTAATAAAAAGCACGAAATTGCTACCACTTTTGATTGAAAGATTAATTTGTTTACTACTACTAATCCGGTTTTTTAAATAAAACATTTTTTTAGTCTAAAAATGAAGCAGAATAGCTTAGCAGAAATTTTTTTAAATATATTTAATTTTATGAATCAAGAATTTTGTTGGCGCAAGCGAAAAATTTAATAAAAAACTGAAAACTTTTATTAGATAGGTTGTTACTAATTGATATTATTTATTCTGTCGAAAGTAAAAAATAATATTATTTGTACAGTATTGTCAGTTATTTCAGGTGTTATTGTAGGGAAGTGCATTTTAGAGTGCGTTATTAGAGGTTCTTAAATATGCAAAGTTCGCGACATAAGAATAATTTGTTTTTTGTTTTTTTTTTTAAACGAAAACAGCAAAATTATTACTGGAATTTAAAAGTTTTAATAATTTGTTAAAGAAATCAACATTTGTTTTAATAAATTGTGAATAAGTTGTGTTGAAAACAGTTCAGCAGAAATAAGTTAGCTATTTTTAAGGAAGATCAAAGCAAAATGTTAAGGATAAAAGTTTTTTCGTTGAGCTTTAGAATTCATTTGCTACTATGTAGTCGTTAGTTAAGATAATAGAAATAATTTGTGTGGCATTCATTAGCTTCATTAATTTTGTTTTTAAATTCATATTTGTTATATTATTCATAAATCTCAACTTCAAATTAAAGAGAAAATTTTAGTTAAGATAATAACTATTTTTTAAATATTTTTATCATTTTAGTTTAATTTGTAAAGTATTGAGTAATGAGAAAAGACATGAACTAACTACTTGTAATATTGTCTACTTCAATTTAATTTGAATCTTAATTATAATGTTTGGTAGAAAGATTTTTATGTTTTGTAAGAGTTCAGTTTATCAGTTTTCAACTATATTTCAAAAATTAATTTTGTTTTTATTTTAATGGCAGGTAAATCATTTGTCTTAATACTTGGACAGTGTGAAAGATATATTAAATTTGTGATGATTCGATATCAAAATTCTAGCCATTCTCAGTAGGCGTTTTGCAGTTAGATTTCAGGTAATTGAAAAAATTATCATATCAGCGTTTATTATTATTCTCTATACAAGAACTATTACAGATGTCTGCATCGAGTATAACAATTTTTTGAATCGAAAGTTCAGAAATGGAAAGGAATGTTGAGGTTGAAAATTTCAGAAAGTTAAAATGAGCAAGCAGTAGTTTATTTTTAAATTTTATTTGTAATTAAGCTTGAAATGTTTGACTTATCATAACTTGTACGTATATGGCTAAGCTATCGCTATCAGTCCAGTTTTACAGTTCACTATTCTTTGGTTTTCTGAAAGTACTGAGAAATATTTTTACTTCTATAAATAACCATGAATGAATTATCAATTCTGAATATATGTCTTCACACAGTTAGTTTTAAACATGTATTCTGATGCTCGAACAGAATATAAAATGAAAAAAACCGTTTATATTATTATGTTTCTCATGTCAAATATGCGTTGCTAATAATGCTAATCCTCTAAAAACTTCAAATTTTTTTTTTAGAATTATTTTGTACAAAGCAGTAAATGGGGGGATGTCTTTGTAAAAGAAAACGACTATTTATTGCTCGTAGTCGCTGTCTAAGGCAACATTCAACAACTGTTAATAATGTAGTGAACAATGGGAGTAACACATCTAGTACTGCTGTACGACAAGTACGAAGACATTTGCCAGCGCGAACTCAAGTAGTAACCTTATCAGCTCAGACTACATCTCAAAATTTTGATGGTATATTGCGTTTACTAAAATATGTTCATAAAATTTGTAATTATTAAAAGTTTTGACTTTAATATTAATTAATTTATTTTTTGTTACTGCAACACCTAGGTGAATGCAAGATAAAACAGTTTGCTGAAAGTGCTTTATTTTAGCTGTTTGACTTGCTTTTGGTCTGATTAGTATCAATATTTAGCTCTTATGATGAGTTTAAATGTTCAGTGCTTAAAAACTAAGTAGATCATGTTAACATGTAAGCTCGTTTTTTACAGTAACTTATCTGGTGAGATAAATCCTGTTTTAGGTGATCGTGGGACAACGGATCATGTTGAAGCTTATGTAAAGAATTTAATACTACAAATTTTAAAAATGATACGCTATCTAGTAAGCAAGTAAGTTCTTTGATTTGAAAAACCGAAATATCTAAAAACAATCAAAATTTTATTCGAAATCGCTTTTTATCGGAATTCAAAAGATATATCAGTGTAACATCGAACATCATTTAGCAAAAATATGCTATAAATAGGCTTTTAGGTTGTTGATAGGTGAATAATAAACTTATTGGAATAGCCTTTTGAATAATGAAATTGCAGTGAGCAGGAGCTACCCAGGCAGATGATAAAGTTAAATTTAATTGCTGATAAAGAAGGGGGCTGGATTATGGTTGTGATGTGTTTGATTGATGTGATTACTGTTCAAGAACCTCTCGGACCTGCTGTGATTGCACTCTTTTTGGATGAGAGTCCACTTCCAACAAAGGTTAATCCAATCCCTTCTCTTTTCGCGTTTGCTTAAAAATAGTCTGGAAGTTTATAATAACCATACCATTTATCAAGGAAAGGATTTTTAGGTAAAAAAATAGAAAAATTTATGAAGTGTGACTATTAATGAACATCCGATAATTAATTTATGGTATGTGTTTTTGCTTTTAACACAGATAGATCTACAGTGAAATCAACATTCCCGAAAGCTCTTTCGAAACTATGAGGTAAAGGCGCATGAAAAAAAGTTTATCTTTTTTTCATTTTACATGATGAAGTTGTAATTTTTTAAGTAAAAGATTTATTAAAGGAAACTGTCATGCGTTTACTTACGCAGCATTTGGACTTAGAAAATTCACATTCAACGAAGTCCAACGAACTCCATTCTTCTCGAGATCGAAATACATGTATTGTATTAGGTTCTCTTGCCGAAAAATTGGCTGGACCAAGCTCTGTACAAATATGCACAAATTCGACGCTGAATTATCTTTTTAATAATCTTGTGAGTTTTTGAGTATTCCCTAAGCATATCTCGCAATTTAGTGCTTGATAGTGTTGCAATATCAGTATAAGTAGGTATAAATGACCAAAAAATTTCTGATTGAACTTATCACCGTTTCCTAAAACTCATTCATGTATGTATTTTGGTTTACTTCTTAGGGATGTGAAAATGACCCGCAAGTAATACTTTTTTCACTGATCGCTCTCGAGAAATTTGCTCAAACAAGTGAAAATAGGTTGATTATTTGTCGAAAATTTGAACAAATGGAACGTAATCCACTACTGGTGAGATATATTTTTTTTATTTGTCGACAAACTATTTTTATTTTCTCAGTTCATAAATTTTTGAATGCTCTAAAATTTCAAAGACTGTTCTGTTTTAGGTCTTAGAGTCATGGATGTATGATTCACGAATTCATAATGAATGGTTGAAACAGCAGGTTGCATTTTGTGCTCAGTGGACGTTGGATAATGTTTGTAAGCATATATCTTCATGATTTTGTTTATTTTATCGAATAGTTTGTGTTTATTTCTCACGGAAAGTGTCTGCAAAATCTGAATTTGTATTTTCATAGTTTTTAATCTTTAAGTAATTTGTGTTTTAATTTTCCATTGATTTTGAGAAATACTGACAACTTTCCCTGAAAAACTGATTACGGTTTAGAAGAATGTAGTACGCTTACTGCATTTTTACACTTTTTAGACAACAAATATACTAATTGCATCGCAATTTCTATGAAATAATATAATTTTTAGTTGTAATTGAGAATCGTACTCCTTCATACTTGACCGTGAATGTCGATGAAATAAATGCTATGTTAAATCACGAAGATGTCAGCGAATATCTGAAAATAGGTTCCAGTGGATTAGAGGTTCTTACTTTGTCCTGAATAATCAGATCTAATGTTTGTAATTTTGTTTAGTTCTGAAAAATATTAAGTACCATCGTTGAAAATACGATTACATTTTGAAGAGTATTATAACGCATGCAATATATAAATTTAGCTTCTTTTTTCGTTTTCTACGCAACAAATTGTAAAATTTTTGCTTCAGTTTCCACGAAATAATACAGTTTTCAGTTGCAAAACATTTAGTTTCATGGTTTCACTAAAAATTGTTAAAATTTCATAAATTCGTCTACAGACGGCTTATTCCTATAAATATGATAACGATAATGACTCTTACTTTATAGGCACGATGTGATGTTCCATCTTTCGAGTCGGTTCGGTGTACTTTCGAAGCCTCAGAAGGTATTTGGTTTTATGAAGCGCTTATTCTGACACCTGGTGTAATGCAGATTGGTTTTGCAACTAAGCAAAGTCGTTTTTCTAATCACGTATGCATTATTTTCTCAGATTCTATGATAGTTTTTAAAATCGTTGACAAAAAAATAGTTACATAAGTTTTAGATTTCACATACTCCGTCTCTGATTTTTAGGAAGGCTATGGAATTGGAGATGATGATTGCTCAGTAGCATATGATGGTTGTCGACAGTTAATCTGGCATGATGCAGATTCTAAAAAAATCGAGCACGATCACTGGAAAGCTGGTTAAGTTTTTTTCCAAGTCAAAAAGATCCTTATCAAATTAGTTTATATGTTAGCGAGAAGAAGTGTTGAGCAAATATTGTGAATTGAAATCAGCTGTTTCTCCTTAAAGTCGGCTTTTTGATAATTGAATTTTGCAAAAATCCCATGAACTTCGAAATTCCCATCTAATTTTTTGTTAGAGTCTGTTCTTGTTACTTAAAGTCGTATATTCTCTTGCTTATTGAGATCATTTTTCTGTTATTCAATCTAAGATTTGTCTGTTTATTATGTCGCACATTAATGTAAAATCTTTTATTTATACTGATTATTTTTATTCTTAAGTTTTGCATTTAAAGAATCATGATCGGTTGCAAAATATTCAGTAATTGAGTTTTAACAACTGTATAATTTATAATACATATGCATTAGATTATGCTTTGCTCTCGATATTTTCATAATAAATTTGGTTTAGGTGATATTCTTGGCTGCCTACTGAATTTGAAAGATAACTATGTACAGTTTTATTTAAATGGTGTACCACTTCGTGAACCACACCATGCATTTCTTCGAAGAAGAGGCAAAACTACAGGATTCTTTGCAGCTGCTTCGTTCATGAGTTTCCAACAGTGTCGCTTTAATTTTGGCTCCGAGCCTTTCAAGTATATTTGTCATTTAAAAAATTAGATGTAATATATTCGGTCACGAGCTTTCACTTATCGTCACTTCATGAAAATATTCTGCAAAAATTTTTTTTCATTAATGTCAGGAATAATACTCTTTTTGTTTATTGTTTTCGATTCTGAAAATTTTATAAAGATGGAACTAGTTTCAGATTTCCACCTACAGATGTAAATTTCAAAACATTCAATGATTATGGCAAATTGCTTCCGAACCAAAAAACTATACTTCCACGGTGTGCTGTTTTATTATTATGTCGAATGCTGTTCCAGAGTTAGAGATAGCTATGTAAAGAAGAAAGAAACCCATGTAATATAATTTGCAATAAAAATGACGAAAAATTATCATTTTTATGACTTGAATTCTATATTTCAGTTTCAGTCAATTTCGGAAAATATAATTTTTGTTGCTGTTGAATATATAGCTTTTTATAGGTACCGTAGGATAGAACTGTTTACACAAATGACAATCGCAGACGATGCATGTAATTTATGTTATGAAAATGCAATAGACACTATTTTGAAGCCATGCGGTCACAGGTAAGAATTGAGCAAAGTTGTTAGAAATTCACTTAGACTTTGAACAAAAATTTTTATTTCGGTGTTTGAAAGTTGTAAATAAATTTTTTGATTCACGTTTCGAAAAACATACATTCATGGGTTTCCAGTGGAATTTGTTACTGCTGTTCTGAACAAATTGAACTCTGTCCACTATGCCGTGAAGCAATCATGGAGCGAGTGCGAATGTGCAAACGATCTCTACATTAATAAAGCATAGTACTTCTGCACTACTTTATGGTATAGGTTTGTAGACTGCTTTGTAATTTGCATTTTTGAGATATTGAAATCAAAGGATGGCAATATTTTTTTTTTGGTAAAAATAACTTGTCATATATGTGAAACAGTACTCTGTCTATAACTGAATACTCTAAACAGTTTTTCATGTTTTTAAAATCAATGATGACATGAATATGCTCTTCAAAGTTCATTAATTTTTTTGTTTCTTCTTATTTGAAAAGATCTAATTTTGCGAAGGAATGGAACTATATCAAGTTAAGAATCCAAATAGATTCACTCTCTACAGCTTTTTATACATTTTCTAGCCTTGTATTATATACTTTGTATCAGTTTATATATAAACGGGTATAATTTTATTTTCATTTTTTACTAATGTAATCTTTGTTAATTCTGAAAACTGTAAAAATTTGACATAAAATAAATACTTCAGTTGTGGTAGACTTCTAGTTTATAAGTTTAAGTAACAGAAATCATTTTTCTTGCTTAACAACAATTTTTTTTACGGCTCAATAATTTTTGAACTTGATTTCTAATATGTTGTATTCTTATTTTGGTGTTTCCTGTACGAATTACGACTTTCCATCATTGATAATTTAAAGTGCTATCATTGATAATATCCATACTTTTCGCTATTGAAAAATATATTTTTTATCATTGACATCTAAAAATTTTCCATTGCTTTACTTCTATTATTTATGGTGGGAAAACATAGCTTGTTTATATTCTCTTTTTACATCATACACAATTCTCTTCACTTACGTCGCGTTTTAATGTTGCATAAAAGTTGTAAAAAATTTTAACATTATAGTTTTGCTCCCTTTATTTTTACTCTTACTCAGCAGTTGTCGTAAATGTGATAATTTTTGTCTTTTTTTTGCACCAATCACATATTTGGAAATTATATATTGTGGGCGTTGAGTGTTATTACTTTATTAATCATGTAGGTTATTTTAGAGAAAACTAATTGATGCAGTAATCTGAAAAAATTGAGTTGTGACATTAAAAGTATTAGCGGCACCATTTTTGTGATTTCAATCTTTACATTGAGTCTTGTTGCTCATATTTTAGTTTGTTATTAATTTTCTATATTTTACATCAATCTGTGTCCATATCTAATTTCAAAATTCCATATCACAAATTGTCTGTTTCTTACGATCAGAATTCGAATTAAATAATGTGTTCTTGTATTTTTTAAAGTAGGCCAAGATTGTGTATTCGAATGAAATTTACAATTTACCATTTTCGCATGTTTGACTGATGTTAAAGTCAAAATTCTATATTTGTTAGAAAGAGATTACTGCTCACAATAGACTAAACATTTGCAAGCAAGCTCTTTCAAGATCATTACTTTAAATATTCTTGAAATTTAATTTTTATGCTATGAAGTAAATGTAGGACATTGCTATTAAGTCATTTTACTCTAGTTAATTTTAAGTTAAAGAATTATTCCCGTTCTTGAAAAAAGTAGCAAAATTGTGGTAAACGTTGTGGTGGAAAGTGGTGCTCTACAGAACGAAGTGATTTTAAGTACTCACTGATATGCTAGACTCGACGGTATTATTTTCAATTTAGTTTCAGGTTGCTAAACTTACATGATTCAGTTGGCATTGTTTGTAAAATATAAAGCATGATCTTACTTTAGGTTTCATGCGAAGCTGACTGTTCAAAATTGGATATACTCCCATCCAGTAATAGCAGTAAGTTGCTTAATTTTATTCACATTTTGTTATTCTGTAGGACTATTAATATGAACATGAATTTATTATTATATTGTTCGAAAAAGAAAGAAATAATTTTCCTGAGTAAAGGTTACTGCAAAATTTAATTAGTCTTTGAAATGTGCAAATTCTTTTAAAAAAAGTGATACCCTACAGAAAGTGCATATCTTCAATATAATGGTAACGAATGGTCCCCATTATACTTATATCGCACCGCATCTGATTTGACACTCGCTGCAATACGACAGTCAGGTTCTGAAGGTATAGGACGCTATGACATTGGAAAAACATATGGAATGGATACATCCGTAAAAGCTGGGAATCGTCGAGTCTCGGCAAATATTATAAATGGAATCAAATCTTTTCCTGATTGTTTTGGGCAATTTCAAAAAATGGAGGGCAAAATTAGATGCATAAAGTAAAGCTTTCATCAAAATAATTTCCTAGAGATGTTTTTTACTTGTAATTTATTGAAAGTTACTTTTTAGATACTATTGGAAAGTAGCTGCTTACCCTGAAAGCTTCAATCATCTGTTCAAAACCTGGAAATCGGTGGTAGGTGATGATTGCCCATTCAGAATTGGTGAAGTCTTGAAGTTTCCGAACACAAATTTAAGTAGGTCTTTGATTACAGCTGGGAAATCCTCAAATTGTTTCTTTAAATTTAAATTCGTTAGGTTAACAAATTATTGATTCATTTCTTTCAGATACGTTACGTATGAGTGATGTTTCATTGCGGCGATTAATCGACATAATGAAAGTTTTGAAGGAACGTCGTGTCGTCGTAACAATTGGTAGTTTTTTAAAGATTATCACAGACATGGAACTCGAACAGGGTTGCCGATATCAGGTACTTCGTATCTAATTTTTTGCTTACTACACATCATTGATTAAAAAGGGATTTTGAAACAAAGTTTAAGGTATCAAAAATTTATAATGGTACATTGTAACAATGGGCAAAATTTTCACTTATTTTTATTTCGGAATATTGTTTTGTTTAGTCTTGTGGTATGAAAAATAGTTTTCAGATTGATAAAAAATCCTTAGTGAAATGTTTGAAAGCACTCGAGAAGAAAGGTTATTTACACATGTTCGAAACTGTTGTTGTGGAAGATTTTCGGTCAAACAAGGTATATTTTTATTGAAAATTTGCAGAAATTAGGTGTTTTATATATATATATATATCGGTGAAATTTCGGTTTACCAATAAGTGAATACATCTTGCGAAATTGATTGTTCCAAATTTGACGATATTTTTTACGTATGTTTCACAAATTTCGTTTCCAGATTTCAGTGGTTACTGAAAAAGAAATAACTGAAGCGTCTCATCCAGAAGTAGAAACAGCCATTCGTGCAGTGATAGATGAATACAATGAAAAAGGACGTGTTTTCCCTCATGGACAATTAAAGTTTGTTTATTCAAATACGTGAACCTTGAGTTTCTTCTTGATAAGTACATAGTTTTCTTATGAAAAGCTTTCACTTGTATTATTATTTTTCGGTACTAATTCATCTTTACTTAGATACAATGATGTGTTCAATCGAAAATTTTAAAATTGAAGAAAATAACTGATTTGAAATTATAGTGTACTGTCATTTTCTTTCATTTGTTGTTTCATGAGTAAAATTTAGTAACAGGCATTTAGTAACATTGTAAACAAAGTCACTATGTATTTCATTTACTCTATATATTTTTTAGAACCAATCGCAAACAACCAGAAAAAGATGGTGAAAAGTTATCAGACCTTACATTGGAAGAGATTGTAAGTATCTTCTTGTCCATTTGAAGACGTTTTTTCATTATAAATGGAAGTTTTCACTATTTCTGTTAATCATGATAACTTGATTTTAGTGTTTAATTCTTAGCATTAAGCATGAAGTTTTTTTTTTCATTTAATTGACTGTCAAGAATACTCATGTACAGAAGTGGTATAAAAAAAGTCATGAATTTATAGAAACTATTCGTTTCTTTTGTTAGATATCTGTTTTTATTTTTGTATATAAGTAGAAAATATGTCTCTGAAGCAGTTGCAGGGATTGTTTTTATTCATTGTTCTCATTATTATTGGTCATCAAATCTTAACCTCATTAACACAGGAAATGATAAACAACGATGATTTCGAAGAAATGACAGTTGATAAACGCCTGGCTATGCTTCGGCTTCAAGCGATACGACGTTTATCTATAATATATCCAGACCAACATTCTCAAGTACAAAATTTACTAATGTCTGGTTTCAGTAGCTCTTTAATTGTTATCCTTATGTTTTCGTTGATTTAAATGTGAATGACTTTGATCGATTTCATTGAAATCATTTCTCAGCTCTAACTCACAAACTTATTCAGTGAGTTTCCACAACAATAATATAGAAACTTCAAAGTAATACAGACAACAAATTTTTTTAGGCAGTACAAGTTATATAAAAGAAATATTTGAAATTTCATAAAAATTATCTTTTCATGTCTGCGTCTCAACTTGTTCATGCTCATCATTAGATTTTTCAATCTGAGAGCAGTATGATGATAAGAGTAATTTTTAGGTCCATCTTTTTTTTTACTGCCTGCCCCTCCTCCCTCTTTGTTCATATCAAGTGCAACTGCAATCTTATTAGCTACAGAAACTTGTTGGAAATCAACCAGAAATTCTCTGCGAATCATCGGATAGTACAAATCAGCCAAAGGAAGCTTCGCAGCTTGCAGCTGTAGTTGAAAGTTACGACTCATTAAATGAGAATAGCCCAAGCCTGCCTTTGCCGGGCTCTTCAGCAAGTGGTGGAGAGACGTCTGTGAGCGGAACTAGGTTACCGAGTGATATGTATGGTCGTCAAAGTAAAATGATTCGGTGTTTTGTTATGCACCAATTAGTTTGGCATTGCTTGTATGGATTACCTGAAGGAACAAAGCCAAATGTTTGGGAACGGTGAGTTTTTCCATTTGAAGTCAGGCTCTTTTTTATTATTATTTGTAATGGACATGATTTTCTTATACTCCATTATTTTGATTTTCTTGTGCTCAATTATTTCTGGCACTAACAGTTATTGCTTTCCTCATTCAGGCTACTGGAAAACTATTAGTAGAGTGAAGGTGTAAGCAAAGAAAAATACAAAAATTTTTAGTTAAATTAGTGGGATATTAACTTTTGATTCTTTATTTACCTTTGAAATATGATGATAGTAGTTTATTATTTTTTCAACTATTATGTGTTCTTTAAGATTATTTTGATTGTAATAATAATTTCAGTATAAAATCGAATATCGTTAGGTAAAATTTGTGATTTTTTCTTTTGTATTTTAAACGCTGCCGTCGGTCATTTACATTACTCATTATTACAGCTATTTCCTCTAAATATAGGTTTTCACCATCTCAAGTTGCTAGACCTGTCCCAGTAGATCAGTGTACGGTTTATGTAGACGAAGAATGTCCTTATCGCTTTGTACCTCCGATACCCCGCCATCAGGATTTACCTCGTGGATGGTTTTTGCTGCAAGATTTAATTAATGTGCTTCCATTATCAATTTATGTACTGTTTGCAAACTTTAAAAATAAGGTTGGTTTGTCAGAATTTATGTATCTAACCTTTTCAAATTTTTCTGCATTTTCTGACGGGAATGGCCATGAGGTAGTCTTATGCTCCCTAGCTAAAGGCTAAAACTTTTATCCTTTCAGGTGACTGAAATCGAGTTTTATTTGAAAGATCCAATTTTACGTCACATGCTGATTGCTGATCTTTCTTCTGATATACGCGTCAAATTGTTGGGAGATAAAAAAGCTGTTTTACAGGTGTGTATGCTACAAGCGCTTGTTGTTCATTAATATTGAATAATTAATGTTTTAAGATAAATCTTTTCCCGCTCTGGTCTCCTGTATCATAATAAACCTTGAACAAACATTCGATAATCTTATTTTTTCGAATGGATTTTGTCTTACATGTATATGAAAATTTTTTGCCTTTTCTTTAGTCTCAGTTTTGAAAATGGTCTGTTTTATGTTATTTTCGTGATTTCTTATTAGTTTTTTTTTATTTTTTCATATTTTCCATAATGATTGGATGCATTGCTAGTTACAAAGAAAGAGATAGGTGTTGTAATGTTGAAACATTCCCGACTAAAAATTGGAAATATAATTTTGATTTTAAGTTTTTATGTGCTTAAATTTAAAAATTAAAGTTTTTTGTTATTGCTTTCTTTACAAAACCGTTGATCTGCACTTAATTAATTTTTACTATTTTATTTTTTTTTATAGCAATGGTAGCTGAGCAGACTACTTTTAGCACCTCTATTGATCTGTTATTTTTTGAGATATTTAAAGTATTTGAAGTATTGGAAGTATTTGATCTTTTATATTTATAATCTAGAATCTTGGTAACTCTTACATAAAGGTATTTCGTAAAAGGTAGCGTCAAATGCAAGAAAAATTTTTTTCGCAACTTAGAATTAAAGTAAAAAGTCTTTAAAATCAAAGTTATTCTTACTGTAAATAACTGTTGATATTCAGAAAATCGAAACTATCTGTGCATTGTACTGTATAATTCTGTTTTGAAAACATAAGACTCTTTGCAGGTAGAACATATCCTACTTACTCTTTGCGGCTTTGGACTCATGAGATTAGGTCCTACCTTAGATACAAAGAAAGGAATAGACGCTGAAGCGGTGAGGTATTTTTGCAGGAAAATTACAAATATAATTTTGACTTTAAAACTTTTTTACTTAAATTTTTTCTAGCAATACTTTTACTTATCTTCCTATGCTTACTTGCGCGATACAAGCACGTCTCAAAAAGGATATTCTCGTGTTTCGTTACCTATTGACCAATATACAAAGTACGAATATGTTTTCAATACAATGGAAGTAAGTATTTGTTGAGTTTATGAATCTTGTCTTGCAATAAATATTTTTCATATCTTTATACTAATTTTCATCTGCTCAAAAGGTTTTCTTTCCTCATTGGCAAAACCATATGAAAATAGAATGAATGAATGATAATGAATTTTTCTTTTTATTACTCGTTTTATTTCCATGCAGGATGTTATTCTTTACTGGCATCATCTACATGCAATAGTTCAAAGCACACCGTTGTCATTCAGATTGGAAGCTGGGGTTAGTTTTTTTTAGAAAAATTTTACTTAAATTTTTTTCTAGCAATACTTTTATTTATCTTCCTATGCTAACTTGCAAAAAATGTGTGCAGTTTCAAATAATTCAAAGAATAATTTTGACTAATCTAATCAATTCGATTGTTGAATTACTTAAAAATACTGATTGTTTGTCATTTACTTCGTTGCCTATTGAAGTATTTTTTTTGACATTTTTGTAGTGTCTGAAAGCTCTATCATTACTTTTGTGATGTGAAAATCATCAGTAAAAGTTATAGCCAGACGATGCACGTCTGTACAAGAAATATACATTTGGAATGTTTGATCGTTCACAAATTATGAAATCTTTTGAAGACTTATCTACAGAGATTTCGCCTATATTACCTCATGATGGTTGTGCGGGTTTTGATTCTTCATTTTTTGTGTAAGTTTTGTTTCTCATATATAATACTTCTTATGCAAGTGAAGAATATATCCTAAAATTTTATTTTTACTTAGAATTATAAATATATATATCTTTCACTCCTAGCTGTTTATCTATCCTTTTGAACTATAGAGATGCTGTTCATGGAGTTCTTTAAGCTTTATCGATCCAAATGTTTATCATTTAAAATATATTTTTTTAAACGTGTACAAAGTACCTTATGTCTAGTCGGATTTTATATAAATATATATATCGTATTTCGTTCAATCGTAAATGTCACATGTTACTTATCTGCGTTTTCAGGCATTTGAGAAGACATTGGGATTTGAATCCTCAACCATTAGGAGTTGTTAGCTGGTTTATGAGTGATTGGCGTCGTTCTTACGAAAATGCAAAATCCATTGTAGAATCTCGAGTAAAAAGTCATCGGAATACTTGGAATTCTTATTACAGAGCATTATTACCCCCGGATAGTGGTGTTTTCAAGAAGTAATGATTTGTGTTTAAAAGATATTTGATCTGTATGGACAACTGCAATAGAAAGCAGAAAAAATGTTTCCGACTTAGCATAACGAAATTCATTTTTTTCCGGAAATCAAATAGAAGCCATGAATCGGTACGGGCAAATCCCGGTTCACTTATTCGCAAAAGTGGTTTTCGTCATTCAAAACCTTCAGCGATATCAAACAGCAAAAAACGGTCGTTTGATGAAGTTGATATTATTTCACAGCAACATCGTATGCATCTGAGGAATAGATTCACTTCATTAGAACGCAATATGGTAAAAGTTTTAATTTTTAGTCTTATGACTTTTTCATCCAGAACTCAGAATTTTAATTTATCAAATTTTGTTTCTAGCTTATATTTATTCGAGCTGTTGGATTTTTTTTGAACCCAAAATATCGTTTTTGGCTCGAACCTGTTGTTTTGCGAGATATCATGCATCAAAATGTTCAGGTATTATTTATAATTCATCAGTATTTAAGAGCAAGTTACATATGTTATTCGTGCGTAATATTTCTAGTTTTTGCAAATCTTTTATTTTTGAAGTCTAAAATGGTTTTCCGGTTTTTGCATCTTGTATTGTTATAGGAATCCATTTCAAAAACAGTTCATTCTTTAATGGCAGCGGGAGTTCGTGAAATGAAGCGCCCCGAAAGTGTTGCTTATCTCCAGCGAATTGTTAAAAATTTAGCATCGTACAAGGTTTTAGTTCCATCCATCAGTTATCTTGAATATCAAAATGTTTCATTTGGATTTCGAAAACTAATCAAATGTTTTCAGGAGATGAGAGTTTTACGCAACCAACTAGCTTTCCATCCACTTTTGGATTCAGAATCGAGAAGGACATTTTTTATTGATGCCTTTAACAAAGCCAAAAAACTACTTTTTATGTATGACATAAATTCATTGTTCTCCTTTCTCAATTCTTCGAATTAGGACTAAACTTTTTAATCGATCAAAGTTTAGTTTCTATTGCTAATAAACTGCTTGTTAGAAATATTGCTGAAATATTTCAGGGAATCAGAAGAATTACCGAAAACTGACGATACTGATGAATCGTTTGAAAAATTTCTAGAAGCCGGTAATTTAAACATATTTGCTGAAACACAAAAAGCTGTTACAGTACCTTCCCGGTCACAAAAACCAAAAGATCAAAACCAAGTTCGTCATTGTGTCGCTTTTAACGTTATTGTTGTAAGTTTATTATTTCATTTTTCAATTATTATTTTTTTCAATTTTAAGTGTCAAAGTTAGCATTTAGTTTCAAAATAATGTGAATTTTATTTGTGGGATTAGTTCAATTTTTACCAACAAAAATATTTTTGTGGAAGATGAATTTAAAAAAAAAAAAATTTTCTGAACCTAATTTTCAGGGAGCTTTAATAAGTGAACAAGATCTAGCTGACACCAATATGGAGTCTATCTTCGAGCACTTGGGAGCCTCCACTGTTTCTAGAATATTGGAACAGCTTCGAATTGATGGCTTAATTACAAGACAAAGAATTCCTACGGAAGATTTGAAATATGGCTGGAAAGGTCATGCAACATTATCTCTTAAGTACGTTTATGAAATTAGAAATGATTTCTTTCGTAGGACATTGTTTTATGTTTTAAACGAATTTTGGTTTTGCAGTTTTCGAAATTTTTTCAATCATGGTTACGATCCAGATATGTTGGAACAACTCACTGAATCAAATCGTAAAATGGAGTCTGGTACAACTTTCGCTGCAGATGATGATTCGGCCGGCACTGTTGCTGCTGCAACTAAATGTTTCTACTCTGGGGTATAATATGGAATTTCCTCTTTGGTCTTTCTTTTTTGTAGAACTTTTTTACGTAGAAGTGGTTGTGTTAAAACTATACACTCCACAAATTTTTTTAAGTTTTTAGTTGTTTTTATAAGCAAGAGATGTTTTGCAGATAGCTTTAGAAATAACGATGAATAATGATATGCTCGAGTTTTTCGAATCATCTTCACAAGAAGTAATTTTTTCTTTTTTAACTTCCAGTTTAAGAATATAGTTGAGTGTGTTAACTAATTAATTTTGATAATTGATGCCTTTTGCCAATTTCCATAATTGTTTTGCTATTTTTAGCTTAAGCAATGTTTTCAAGAAAAACAAACGTCTTTTTGTATGATTCGATTAACCTTATAATTCTGACATATGTGTATTGATTTAGCAGATGATGAATATTACCAAGCAGTTACGTTATTTGGAATCAGCCAATTTGCATTTGGAGCAAATATTGATAAAGCCAGAAGGAAAGGGGTCCGACTTTGATATTCCTGATTTGCACTCTGTGCTGAATTCTTTGCAGAGAACTTATTCTTTAAATGAAATCAAAAGTACAAATTTCGAAGACTATTTAAAAACTCAGGAAGTTTCTAAACGTCAACTTTTACGTCAAATTCATACAGCAATAAAACAATCAAAGTTTTCGGGAACATCAATTGAGGATTTGATAGTGAGCATTCAAGAGAATAAATCTTATTTTAAGTTTATAAAGTCTAAGCATGAAAAATAAACATTAGTTTCAAAATCCTTTGACAAAAACTTTTTTGCATTGAAAAATTAATTTTTATTCATCATGGTTAATGTTGGTGGTTACCTTGCGAGATTTCAGTTGCTCAGAATATTGTAATTAAGGAAAGCTTCACATTTAGATCAGCTTAAAAAGCAATGCTTCAATCGTGAGTTCAGTTGTGCGACAATTGGAGCAAGATTCCCAATTGATTACTGTTGGTGTGGATACAATTCGTTATGTTCTTCCAGCATATAGTGATTGTTGGCTCGTCCCTTTTGGAGAAAAGGTTTATGTACCAAAGCCTTGGTTCACGATCTCGGGAGAGATTCACCTACCAACTGTTCGGTTTGTGCTTTTTTTAAAGTTTTCAGTCAAGAAGGATAAATATTTGAAACTGAAATTCGAAAAAATTTAGTAACCGATATTTTACTTTTTTGACATGCGTAATTTAACTACTTTTTTAGGTGGATTGCTGAAGGAATTCTTTTTTCCATCATAAATCATCCAGGTTGCCACATTGACGAGTTGAAACGGCGCTTTGCATATGTTTTGCAACCTCGAATGTTGCTGGAGATAGTTCAGATTTTAGAAGTTTGTAGCTGTATTCGACTTCATAAATTAACTGCTGGACCAATGCGTAAAAAATCTCCTTTTAATAACGGTAAGTTTCTAAAGTTGTGGCTTCCAACGAATTTTTTCACATTATTAAACAATGAATTTTTTTCAAAAAATTCCATTCATATTAGGTAGTGTTTATCTTAGTTCTGTCTCATTATTTTGCTGTTAAGATAAATTATGTTTGCAATAAAATTAATTAATGGGGTGTTGCAAGTCAAGCAAAATCTGCAATAGTGTACTATTTTGGATTTTTTCACCTTCTAAAAACATTAAATGTTGGTGTTACAAATAAATAAGGCCATGGATATTGACGATAAGAAGTTAAAGAATTCATCAACTTACAATTTCATAGAATTTTGATTTTCGTTATGTGGTTAAAGACATTTTTAGATGAATTAGAGAAGGATATTTTTTACGTATGTGCCGCAAAAGATGCAGTGGAACGATTTTCACGAATATTTGGCACAATTTCATTACCTGCCATTCTGAAATCGATTCAAGTGGAAAATATTTGATTGTGCATTTAATTAAAATACTTAATTAAGATTTTCACTTCCGTTATTTTCAGTAGTAAAGTGATTCATGCTTATTTAATAAGTTGTCTTGTTGTTGATTGATCTCAAGGTCATACTTTTTATCTGTAAAATGATTCATATTATCATTTTGTTGAATTTTCATTACCATCGTCTTGAGTAATTCGTATTTTCCACTGCTCTTTTCGAGTGATTGATTTTTCTTATCTAAGAATTGTTCTCATGCACTGCACGAAAAAATTCAGTAGAAAATATGAAAACAAGAATTTACTTTTGTTATTTCTCCTTTTGCACTCGGTTTTTTTTTCGAAAATATAAATTTCAATTTTTATCAGAACAGTATCATTCGCGAAGGGTACGCACGCTCAATTAGCCTTTTTATGGCATTCATAAAAGTTTAGTTTTTGTACTACTTTTGTCAGTTTTATTTAAAAATCATTTAAAATAGCATTTTATGAGGTATGATTCTATTAGCAAACAGGTATATCATCTTTAATAATGATTGAACTTTGATTCTGAGTTCATTTGTAAA